GAGTGTGAGGATCCGTGACATGGCACAGAGCCTTAGCATCCTGGAGTCACAAAGAATACCGGGCAGTCTAAGGACACAGCTGAATGGTGGCGGGTGGCGGAGCTCACGGCGTGTGTATGTAGCTAGATTAGTTAGCCTCTCAAAAGAAGGGAATCGGTGAGGCTTTGTGTAAAGGATCATAATTCATTCATATTGGTTCATTTACTTCTCTGAGACAGTATCTCAGGTAGCCCAAGATGGCTCCAAACTCGTTGTACAGCCGGTGGTGACCTTCACCTTCTGACCGCCGTGCCTTCGTCGCTTAAGGACCGGGGTTACAGGCATGTGCCACTGTGCCTTGTTTATACGGTACAGCAAATCAAACTCAGGTCCTCATGCATGCCCTGCCTGGGATAAGCACTATCCCAGCCCTTCAAGCATCTTAATTAATGAAAGCCAAGCCTTTGTTTTTAGATCTATTCACACTGCTTGGTAAGGCAACTCACTTTTTGTTTCCAAGGTGTTTCAGTTACAGGGGGAAATGTGTTCAATCAAAACCTGAATCTTAGCTTTAAAACCGCCCTTATTTTGCACTTCAGAGACATGGCGTAGAGTTCAGAATGGCGGTACAGGCCTGTAATCTCAGCACTTGGGTGGTAGAGACAGAAGCATCAAGAGACCAAGGTCGTTTTCAGCTATATAGCAAGTTCAAGGCCAGCCTGAGCTACATGAGACAGAGGAGGGGAGAGGAGAGGGAGAGAGTAAAAGAGGGAGGGAGAAGAGGTGCACAGCATGAATCGGCTCCCCAAGAGCCCTCCTGAAATTGGTGGTCTAAGAGCATGTTGCTATACTGTGTTTGTTTATAGGTCAGACATGCTCTGTTATCTTGGCAGATCCCCAGCTAACCTAGGATTCTCCTCTGAGTCAGTTCCAACTAGGAACTGACAGCTGTTCTCTGTAAATAGGGCCCCAGAACTGTCCAAAGCATTCTTGGTAGAGTCTAGTTAGCACCAAGGTGCTCCCCCTTTTTCTGATTCAATTCTGCCATTCTCACGCCCTATTCAGGAAGTGGATCAGCGCACATACCACTTGTACAGTCACAGACAGCCCAGGTTCCGATCGTGTTTTCCACTTTTAGTTGTGAGTTTCTAGGCAACCCACTAAATGACCTTTTGCCTTAGTTTCTTCATTTGTAGAACAGGGAGTATACTTGAGTCTAGTTCACGGTATTGGCACAAGGATTGAGTTTATGAGTTGAAAATGTTGATACATATATATTATTATACCTGGAAATGTTATGGAAGCATTAATGTAGTGTGAGAAGCCCATATACTAAGTATTGGGGCTGGAAGTGCTTCAGGTTCGGGTTCCTTCAGGACTTTCAGTAATTGTGTCTATATATTTAGATATCTTCTGAGGTGAGATACAGGTCTAAACACATTTATGTATGTTTTCTATATACTTTATACATTTAGCCTGAAGGTAATTTTAAAGCACATTTTCAGTGTTTCTGCATTCATGACAACCTGTACCACAAGGTCAGTTGTGGAATTTTCCACTGTGGAGTCATGGTAAGAGCTAGTTCATTCCAGGTCACTCCCAATGAGAACATGTTGAGTCCACCAGCGCTGCCGTCTCTAGAGCAGCACTGATGCAGCAAACAGTGGGGCCTCTGTTTCTGACCATATCCTCCATCTTGTCCCAGACTATCAGCCATGAGCTAGGCACTGTCTTATGAAAAAGCATTGAGGATATGTATGGAAATAACATGTGGTCTTTGCCCCCATCCGGGTCCCAAAATAAAAAGAAATGAAATGAGGAAGTAGAGCGTGGTCCCTGAGAGACGTATGCACCACGGCCACAAAAAACACCCAGTGTTAGTACCATGATCTCCTGTTTCATGTTTCTAAGTGCCCTAAAGTGGCAGGAAGCCAGACAAACGCTTACTGCCTTTTTAAAGCTGACGTTATTTAGTAATAAGTCCCCCCTTCACGCCTTCAAGCACTGTGGTGGCTCTTGACCTTTCTCATCTTTCTCAAGAGGTATTCTTCAAATTTACCAGTTTGGTGGTATTTTATTCGTAAACAGAATACTTCTTCAGTAGTACTCTCATCCTAGAGTCTGTTGCTCAGGGAGATAGAAACCGCAGTGGGGAATGCTTAAAGAATAGCAACTGCCAAATCATAGTCACCCCTGAAAAGGATCGGAGACCATTCATTTGTTCGTGCACTGAGTGCCTCTAAGTACCTGTAATTGAGCCTCCGAAGGTCCAGGCTCTAAGACATGGTCTCACATGTTAGCTCGGGGGGTGGGAGGGGGCTCCCTGTGGTCAGCTTTTTCATAAATGGTAATCTGCCCAAAGGCTGTCCTGCCAGCCAGCATCTGATAATCCCCGCACCCTGAGCCTCCTGGAGAGCACTCAGAGAAGCACGAGGGAGCAAAGCCACATGCCGTTCTGTCATTATAGTTCCAGATTTGTCCCCTTCTGAAGTCCGTACTGTCTTTGCCACTTACGAACCCCGAACCCCGTAGCATAAAAGCCCTAGCAGTCAGGACATGCAAGGAGAAGTTATGTTTACTCATTTTTTACTTAGTCAGACAAAATGTTTTCAAAAGAGGTTTTGAGCCCGTGAGAACACTGGTGCTTCCTAACTCTCTCAAGAAGCTTAAAGATAGATGGGAGAGCCCTGGGGAAAAGAAGACCACCCCACATCCAGGCTGCTGCCTTGTGGGACTCCTGGTGCTGAACCACTACTTGAAATGTTCAGGTTCACAATCCTGCCAAAACCTTTGTGGGTTGCCGGATTTCAGTCGTTGCCTCACAAGTGAAATAAGCCATTTTCTTGAGCATGGAGGTGTTCCCCCAGCCTGGCCTCTCTGTCTAGAAAGGGCCGTTTTCATAAAGAGCTGTCACGCTCCGAGTCCTTTGGCTTGTGATTTAGCTGTTCAGGGGAAGTGCAGGCTGCTGTTGCCCGCTCAGTGCTGGTGATGTGTGTTTTTTGTTTTATTAAATCTTTAAAATACCGGGCTTGTTTTTTATGATCCCCATATATCCTTTTGTTCTTCTTCATGACTGGTTAGATCACACTCTTGCTCCCTTAGTAAAAATATTAGTGCCTTTCTGAAGAACACTGTGGTCTCCAGAGTGGCTGCCTAATAAAGTGGAGAACTGTGTGGAGCTTGCCATCAGATTCATGGAGGCCTTGGTGCAAGCACGTTACAGTGGCATGGTTTAGGGCCTAGGAGAGGGCACAGAGATGAAGGTTCTTTGGGCTCTTACCCAGTTTGCCTTGATAATTCTGGCATCATTTGGCACAAGTGTCAGAATTCTTTTTGAAGTTAAGCTGCCAAATGGCTTATCTTCCGTGTGTGTGTGTGTGTGTGTGTGTGTGTGTGTGTGTGTGTGTGTGTAAGAGAGAGAGAGAGAGAGTAAAAGTTTCTAAGAACCAATCTTTTAAGTTGAAGCCAACTCTTGTCCAGGCGTGGTCTTGGATGTCCAAGTCCTGGCACTCAACACTCAATGCACAGGGAACATCCCCACTCTGCTGTAACATCTCACGGGGGACCCAATTCAAAAGATTTTTCCTACTCAGAGGAGACGCAAAAAAAGGTTGAATTAGGTTAAATTTTCTTGAGTACAACTGGGCTAACTCACTAACATGAATCCCCAATAAGCCAGCCCATGACATCCAACTGAACTTGTTCCCGTGCGCTACAGTGTCTCAGCCCATCCTGTACTGTTAGTTTTGGCAAGTACACCACAGCAGATAATAAATCATGGAAGGAAAAAGCTTTTGGCCTAGCATGGTTCAGCCTGCTGTAATGCTAGAATACAGAAAGCAGTTCTGTTTTTACACATCCTTTCACTAACCCAACATTCATAATTTATGATTTCACTGTAAAATTCCTGCAACACTACACCAAAAGTAGCCCTGCCCTTTAATTAAGTACTCTCGGTAGGGAAAACGTGGAACTGATGTACAAACCGTCTCTCTGTGCCCAGTGATTGATAGTGATTATATCTTTATGAACCCAGCCTACAGGTCTCAGCTTCCTGATGGGTGAAGCCGTCTGTGCAGCCACTTCCTGGGTGTGCTTGGCAGGGATCAGGCACCAAAGATAACTTGGGGTTGGGGCAACGTAGACATGTTTAGCTTTAAAGCCTACATCTGTCTCTCCAGACTTAGTCACAAGTCTCTGTCACTATCCCTGGTTTTTGTGGGAGCTTACGGTCAGGTTACACACTACCTCTGTGCTTAGGTAGCAATTCAGAGTATGGAGTGTTGAGTAGAGCTCTCTTCAAGGCATCCTAGTTTGACACACAGTTTTTTGTGTTTTTGTTGGTTTGGTTTGGTTTGGTTTGGTTTGGTTTGGTTTGGTTTGGTTTGGTTTGGTTTGGTTTGGTTTGGTTTGCTAAGCTAGAAATAATGAATATCAGGAGTTATTTCTGGCCACAGTGGTACTTGAATTAAACATGATAGCCTGAGAAAAGCCTTCATGTGTCCCATTGTTTTAAGTTATTTTGCTAACGTTTTGAGACAGTAACCTGCTACACAGCCCAGACGGGCTTCAAGCTGATGGAGCCTCCTGCCTCCTGAGTGCTGTGCTTACCAATATGTACCACCGTGGCCAGTTGTTCAAACATTCCTTTCCTTCCTTTGTTGGAAGTTTAATTTTTAAAGTAGCACCAGGAAATATTAGAAGACCGGCCTCCCAAAGCCAGGTGCTCCGGCTCCTCGCTGTTTCCCCTTCAGTTGTAGTCTTCCTCCACTTAGTGATTTCTTCAGCTCATACCCATGGCCCTTTATTGAAAGATGTTACCGGTGAATCTAGATCTCTAGGCTCCTGGGAAGAAAGGAAACAAACGTTTGTACCCAGCTGCCTCCCATCATCACGAGAGCAAGCAAGGAAAGCTAGTATAATTATCCTCACTTAGCTGCCTTCTGTCTACGTCTACAAAATGTCTGTTTTCTGGACTGTGTTGATAGGGGCATGCATGACAGTCTCTGTTGTTTTTGCAGGTTTGGACCCGGCTTGGTCATCTATTGGTATGGATTTATCCAGGAACTGGACTGCAACCGGGAAAGGGGCATCCTGCTCAAAGCTTCTTTCCCAACAGACATTGTCACCTTATGCCATAGCACAGCTTGACCCTGAAGATCCTGGAAGAGAAGCCGGAAGCAATGTTACTTTCCTGCAGTATAAACTGCTGGCAACATCTGCCCTGAACTTCAGCTGAACCCTTGCCGCTGCAGTCGCGGCCCTACCTCTAGACAAACATATCAAGAGTTTCTGTTTTCCTTCATCCCTAGCTGATGTGAATAGCCAAGAACTACAGACACAACCCACTCATTATCAGCATTTCTGTCTCTGACAAACAGTTAGTTTATAGATAGTCATAATCTTGCTTCCTTCCGAATGCTTTCTCCTTGTATACTGAACAGAAGAAAAAGTGTAGAGACTGAAAGGTGTAATTTTTCAATTTTCTTCCCTGTTACTGAATACTTTTTCTTCTAAACCTCCATTCATCTTTCTCTCTCTCACACTCTCTGTCCCTCTCTCTCTCTCCTCTCTCTCTCTCTCTTTCTCTCTCTCTCTGTTCACTGTGGGGGTACTCCGGTACCATCAAGGAGTAACCTCGCACAAACCTAGAAAAGCTCGAGACAGGAAGTAACTGTTCCTTCTCACCTGGGACTAAGCAGAGCCAGACAGGAGCTTTTTCTATGGAGCCTTGTGGCCTCCTGACTTCTGTGGCATTCAGCCAAGCTACAAAAAAATCCTCCTTGATGAGAATTTCCTCTTTTCATAAAGCTGATTTGAACACCAAACATTTCACATTGATCTCACCTTAAAGTATGAGTTGCATTGTGTCTGGAAAACCATGCTCCTTGGGCTTGGGGCTGAGGCAGAGGACTGAAACCCAGCCTCCCTGTCTACAGTGGTCCTTTAAACATGACTGCCAGTCAACACAATGTTAGCCACTATTTTTTATGAGTTGTTTTTTTAAGTCCATTCATATATACTGCTTTGTGTCTGCATTTCATACTATGTAATTGTATAACACCCAGATAATTTAGACATTATAAATAATCAGCTTTGAATGAATTAAATGTACCAGAAAAATCCTAGAGTGATTTTTAAGTAAGCAAAATAAAAGAGTCTTTGTATTTTATTCATTTTAATTTATTCACTTTTATAGACTGAAGATCAGTCTTCAGTCAGAAGCAAAACATCAATAAAATAATTATAAACCTATCTTTTGGAAATTTAAAAAGTAATCTGTATCTCCCAAAATATGTATCTTGTTAAAAAATATTTGCCCCCGTCCTCCTAAAATGTAGCCTTTATAATAAAAATACGACTCTTGGAAATACCTCAAGTCACGCACATTCGTCAGTTCCTTTTGTTCCTGGTCAGTGAAAATCTTGCCCTATTGCCTTCCTACCAAGGGCCATAAGTGTGGCCTCTCTGAGATGGGATTTTTAACTCTCCTGGGAGACTGCAGGAAATCACGGGAGAGAAGCAAAAGTGGTTAAGGAGGCCTCAGGAAATCTTCTCCCTCCACATAGAGCGCATCATGAAGGTTTTGCATTTGAAATAGATGATTTGAGACCGCTACTACGTTGTTTTTGTGCACACAGTTTAGAGAAAAATATGAAAATCTGGTTTCATGGCATGCCCTAAGCCACTGGTTTTGTTTGTTTTGGTTTTGGACAGGTTTTTGCAGTAAATTACATGTATCTGCACAGATGTTGAAAATCTTGCAAAATCCTTGTCAAAGATTTGCTTGTTTTAACATTGGCCTAATTTATGATGAGCGTGCACTAATAAATTTTAAAAGCTCGAAATGTGCTTGCTCTTGATGTTTATTCTCCTACCTGGAGCCCTGACATAATTCGCTGTGCAAAGGTTCTGGTAAGCCCCAACAGAGACACCACCTTGTATTTATGAGTGAAGCTTCGCAGTTTGGTCCTTCAAAACAAGAAAGACACCAACAGTAGATTTAAGTGCTATGGTGAGGTTGTGGGTTACTCAAAAGCTCATGAAATCTTTGTGTCTGCTGTGTTTGAATTACAGGCATGTGGAAAGGAAGGAGGGAAAGAGAGAGAGAGAGAAGAAAGAAAGAAAGAAAGAAAGAAAGAAAGAAAGAAAGAAAGAAAGAAAAAGAAAGAAAGAAAGAAGAAAGAAAGGAAGGAAGGAAGCTTAAAACCTCTTTGACTTTTCTTTTGTCCTAAAAAAATCTTCTCTGACATCTGGGCACAGGGGTCCTGTAGAGACTTATGAATCAGCCAAGGACCATGGATGGAGAGGACCTACACCCCCACACAGATGTAGCCCATGGGCTGCTCAGCCTCCATGTGGATGCCCTAGGGGAGCACGGGCTGTCTCTTACATGGACTCAGCGGCCGGCTCTTTGGTCACCTCCCACTGGTGAGGTGGCCTAACTAGACCACAGAGAAAGAGGATCCAGCCAGTCCTGATGAGACCTGATAGACTAAAGTCAGATAGTAAGGGAGGGACATAGGGGGAGAAGAAGGATGGAGGGTGGGACTGGGAGGAGATGAGGGAGTAGTTTAAGAGCATTTGCTGCTTTTGCAGAGGATCCAGGTTCGAATCCCAGCACCCATGTGGCAGGTTATAACCACCTGTAACCCAGTTCCAGTGCCCTCTGTGGGCACTTGGCATGTACTTGATACACATGCACACATGCAAGCAAAACACCCATGCAGATGTCTTAAGAATACCTGTAACATTCCTGTAAGTTCTCTTGTGTATTTATTTTTTCAGCGTGGGCAATCCAAACATTGGCCCTTCAAAGTAGTCTTAGGATAGCTTTGGTTTAGGGCTGTCATCATTGGAACACTAAATGTCAAAGCCAAACCTTTAACATCTTGGTAGACCATTTTACACGATGTGCTGACAAGCTTTGCCAAGTCACTCACAGGGTGCAGGACTGTGAGTATACCGTAACAAGTGTTCTCTCTGCCCCAGAGACTTGCCACACACCTGTCCTCACAAACTAACTAGACCCCCTTTGAAGAGTGGGAAAGAACCGACAGAACACAGCTGATCTGCCTGACATTCAAGGTGACTTCGTAGACTGCTTCCCTTTTTCCTTCTCTTCCTTGTCCTAAAAAGCCATAAACAATTGAGAATCAATTGAAGTTTGTGTGTCAACTTTTTCACATGTGATGGAGAAGGCTCAGAGTTCTGAAGCCCACCTCTAGGAGAAGCGTTCATTTTAAGTGGAAGTGTGTGTACCTGCTCATCATCTACAAGGCTTGACGGCAATCTGGAAAAAATGATGAATTAGTAGTCTTTGGGGATTGCATTAACTCATGAGAGCCACCAAGGAGGAGGATGCTTAGGTCCCTGATGAGGTAGTCTAAACAATCCCCTCGCTGCCTACACTAATTAACACACAGCACCAAAGTGAACAATTAGTTCACTGGACTCTCCCTGGAGAGCTGCACCCATTGTTTACTTTCTGCATTGGAACCAAGATACCTGATGTTTGCTCTTTTAAACCTGTTTCAGGCCTGGAGTTTCAATTAAATGAAATCTAAAGAACTCTGTGTGTTTCTTCCCTTCCTGCTTCTTTCTGGCCATCTTCTCTTTCATTAACCTCGAGTTTCCTTCCACATGGTTGTGCCTTCCTACGTCTCTTTTTTTCTTTGTAGACAGTGATCCCAGAAGCAAGATAGAGCTCCTCTAAATCTTTGTGAGGTAGCAGCTGAGCAAACCTCTTCAGGCAAAGCAAAACATACACGTCACAGACCAAAACGCCAGAGTGCATGCCAGCAGCACCTGTAGGATCCTACTGCATTTAACTTAGAGAATAATATTTTGTGTGAGATTCATGCCTTAGGTAAATGTTTTCGCAAAATAAGCCAACAAAGCTGGACATGGTGGAGAATTTCATTAGTTTCTGCACTCAGGAGACAGGGGCAGGCAGATAGCTGTGAGTTCAAAGTTTTCCATAGCAGTTCCCAGGCTAGGGAGGGCTTCAGTGGGAGCCTGTCTCAAAAAAAAAAAAGAAACCCAAGACATGTAAAGTTTTATAGTGTCTTTCATTCAGCCCACATGATTGTGTTCAGCTGATGAAAGTTGTGAATTAGAACAGTAAAATTTCTGTTGGTCTTAGTGAGCCACTCCAGACAGAAATGGGAGCGCCTTGCCATTGCCCGTATCTCTGAGAGGAGACTGCTTCATAGGTTAACTGTGTGATAACAAGGATGGGAGGAGACACTCTCCCTGTGGGCACATTCTTGATTAGGGTTAAAGAACAAAGTAAGGAGAAACTTACCAGGAGAACAATGGAAGTGTGCCTGCAGTGTCACCTTCGGCAGAAAAGCTCAAGTTGCCTATCTCAACCCAAGTCACTCCTGGGTTAAGGAAGGGTCATGGGTGACGTGGTTGAGCCCATCTCAGCATCTTGCTGACCTTCCTATCGGTAGGAACACGGTCTGAATCTGTCTCATGAAGAGCATGCCTGACTGTAAAGGTTAAATAAGGAAGATGGGATTATGAATTCAATAATAACCAGAAGAGCCTGGGTTCCCTTTGTGCTTTCCTGCTATTGTTTGGAATGTGGCTGTGAGACAAAGAACTGCTTAGGTCAAGCACTATAAATTACAGTTTTCATACAATAGTGATCCACTGAAATGATTTCAAAGCTTGATCAAAGTAATTCCGAAGAGCCTTTTAAAACTTTTCTACAATACATGGGGCACAGGAAGTGCTCACTTGATGCCTTGATTCATTTCAGTCAGTGTACTGGAGTTAATCTTGGCCATGCCTCCTTTATATAAAACCCAAGTCATTGATTAGGTGAGTACAGCTTGTGCTTGGTGCTTCCTGTGTGAGGACAAAGACTGTAGCTCTTACCTACTTGCTTACCTGCAGCAACTAAACATTCGGAGTCGCTTGTAAAAAAAAGGTACATAGAACTGAAATTTTTTACTTGAGCATGGCTTGACTGTTCTTATGTCCCCAAGACATTTGCTAAAGCATATTTTACCCACCACACTCAGAGTGATGTCACGGGGCTTACTTTGGTGTTTCAGTAAAGCAACAGATGTGTTTATTTTTCATTCCTTTTCCCTCACTTGGATTTCTCCTGAGCTGTCTTATGTCCTAGAAAAAGATGATGCAAAGTGGCAGCAAAGCGGAGAGGGTCCGCAGCTCAGCCACATATACAGTGAGGGGGGGGACCAGGGCAGCCGTGTCAGGTGCAACGGACAGCCCACGCCACCAGGCCAGATCATCTTCACTCTTTTAAAGGAAGGTTATTTTGAAATGCCAGCATGAAATATAACCACGTCAATTAAGTAATAACAGTTGAAATTCAGCGTTTAATTGAGGGCCAGACATGAAGCCAGTGACCATTAACCTAAAATGGCCATTAATTCTCCTAGAAACGGCCATGGCTTAAAGGTACTTCTAGAATAACTTGCACTAAGCCATTAGGGGGGAGAGTGCCTATTGACATTTTTCACACCCAACACGAATTCATTCAGAAATAATTTAGTAAGTCTGTGTAGACTTTCTGGGTTATTTTAATTAAAATTATTTTGGAAAGCATCAAAATCTAGGCAAAACCACCTCTTTACAGGAAACCATTGCTTTTTTTTTTTTAAGTAAACTGAAAGATGAACACTATTTGAGTGCTAAGTAAATATCTTAATAGTTAGATTATTTGCTGTTTGTTTAATGTACCTCTCAAGTTAGAGTATTAACTTCATGGGGCAGATACCACATCTATTTTACTGACTTCCCTATGCTCCAGGACCTATCAAAATTCCTGGTACAAAGCAGCTGTTCGACAAATGTTGTTTGAAGAAATGATTGCTAAATTTATATTGGATATGTTTTCACTTTCGTTATACAAATAATTGCACTTATTTCTCTTTTTTAACTAAAAAAATGAAAATAGTCACTGGAATCAGAAAAACAACATACATGTTGATGTTACAGAATTAATTACATTAAAAACTTCTCAAAACCTCACAGCAAATTTATGAAGAACATTTTCTAAGCCATGTTTACTTTTAAGGGGAATTCGTTATCATTTGGTTGCATCTGCCATAAAATTAGCCTAGTAGCCATAGCGTCAAGCCACTGAGTTGCTAAGTAAGAATATTAGAAATCTTATCTTTCTTTTATATTCTATTTTTAAAATAATTGCCCTTAACATTCTGTTGGCCCCCAGATCCAAGTATTGCACAGAACTGAGGCTATTGGGAGTGTTTTCAGACTCCCTAAAACTGGCACTTTTTATGGCTCCCTCTTCGAATGCCTAGTTGAGAATAAGATGTTTCCTGGCCATGAAAGTGCTCGGCAAGCTGGAGAGAAAGCAGCTCTGGGATCTGACCTTTG